GATCCCTCGGACGCCTCTATCTCTTTGGATTTGTAGGCAACACATTGGGGTGTAGCCAATGTCAATGTGGTCACGTTGCCGGTGCATACGGCTCGTACCCTGCAAGTATATGATATGCACGATTACTTATAATCTTTATGATCGTTAGTTCATGGAGCCTACATATTTAAAGAAACTACCTTTGTTACTACCTATGAGGCTCCTTGGGTACCAAGCGGGGCACCACCTAGCTGAGACATGCCGATCTCGTCCTGCTACCAAGGGTCCCACTGGTGGTGCTGTATGCGGAAGCCTAGGGGGTCATCGTCGTCCTTGTTTGCAGGGTCCTTCCCAGCGCTATAATGTGGTGGTGTATGCACAGTGGAAGCGGCACCTGTCATCGGCTGAGAAGAGTCGGCTGGTGTCCTCAAAGAGCCAGAAGACGTGCCACCCGACCACGCCAGGTAATCGGGTTCCACCCAAGGAGTGTCCATGCAGCTCAACTTCTGAGCTAGCTTCATGCAGCTCCGCTTCACCTTCTGCATAAATAGATGTTAAAGTTAGTGCATTTCCCAAACGCATATACACTAAAGAAACATTTTCGGAATGGACAAGTTTATGTTTACCTCCATAAAAGCCTCAAGAACGCATGGCCCTTGCCCTCTAGACTCATGAAGCTGAAATGTTGCTTCATTGGACAGCCTTGACAATTGTGTCGTCTGGGTAGAGAAACGCGGTTGGACAGTTTTAGTACACATACTTAATACCAAATGGATAACAAATTGTACCATTCGAGTATCTTACCACGTATCTTTGAAGCGAAGCTCTCTGTAGTTGTATGTCGTCCCTAGTGGCAACATTGTACACATCTTCGATCACATCTTCCTTATCGTCCTCGTCAATCGCCTCCTCAATGTATGAGGGCTTGATATGTGTCCTCGTAGACCTGTGAAGCCACCGCAGGTACTCGTCGAAGGTGTGTTGGTCGTGTGGGGGACCCGCATCGACCGGCTATCGATCCCTGGTCTGCCACAATTGGATGTACGCATTATGTGTCACGCGCCAATCCTTGGTCTTATACCTTTTCCTACGGTCATACCTACAACAAAACAATTATTAGTTGTACCATACACACCTCTGAATTGTAGCTTTGTTATTAATCGATAACGCACCTGTGCAATTCTTGGTTGGTGGAGTAAAGCGGTGGTGGGTAGCCTGTCATTCTTTCAAACTGCCTACAAACCCTGATGGGCAAGTGAATCTCGATCACGTGGAAGAAAATAAGAGGGACGTTGCAGCGATACTCGTCTGACTCATCCCTATGACAGGACTCAGATAGTCCTGGAGCTCCAAAGCATCCCAAGTACACCAATGTACCTGAACATTTCGTAATTGAGTTAGGTTGTGATATAGTTTACATCGAACAAGACACATGTATGATAGTAAAGAGAGCGTAACTTGATGTTGTGTTAGGACATTAAGACAGTCCGTGTACTCCCTATACTTACGCCTCGTATTTCCTCTAACTAACTCTGCTTGTGTCTAGATATACAAAGCTGTAGGGAGTGTATCCTGTCTATTCCAATGCTGCATTGAACACGATAATAAATTAGCCATTAATAATTTCATCATATGTAACTGCCTCGAAGAATATAGTGAACCGAAGTACTTATAGGAAAACCAGTAACAAGGGGCCTCCCAACAGGCCATCGTTCCCAACACAAAACCTGGAGTAGGTTGGAGCAACCCCCAAGGTTCACATACCCTGAGGTGCGATGATAGGAAACGCATAGCTATCGATACGTCCATGTTAGGAATGCGCTGCCCCAGCTGTACATCGCTATGTTATCCCACGGCTGGCGTAGTATGTCAAGAAAGATCCAGCTGATGGTGTTGCCCGAGGCGTTTGGGAATAGGAAAGCACCAAGGAAGTGCAGAGACACTCTAGTGAACCTGTCGATCTGAGCCTCATCAGCCTGTGGGTCCAAGTAATCAAAGCGCATTGTGATCCACGACGACGAAACACCGGAACTTTTCCTAAAATTCACCAAAGAAAATGAGACCCGATAGTTGCAGGAAAGCAATGCAAGTATTAAATAGACCTGAATTGCTCACTTATTTTTCTTAGAAACCTCGTCGTCTGGTGGAAGAAAGCCAGTGAACTGAGCCACTAGCTCCCTTCAATGATCGTTGTCAACTATACCTGTCACTGGAAGTCCCCACAACCGAAGGCCAAAGATAGCCTTCACGTTCTCCATGGTCAAGGTCATCTCGCCACAAGGTAGGTGGAACATGTGGGTCTCAGGCCTCCACCTGTTATAAGAATAGAACGACTGTTAGTTACCTCAAATTTATTATAAGAATGTTTACGTACAATGAAGGCACTCGCACCTGTCTATAGTTGTAGTAGTAGTGTTGGGTCAAGGGGCGGAAGACCGTAGTTGACAACACGGACAAGCTCGAGAAAGTCGGCACGCCGTATGTACGACGCGTAACGCTCGTCCAACTAGTGCGCCCTGGTGTGCGTGCGGGCCTCAAAGGAGGCAAGGGCACTTCTGCATCGGTGTCGGTCAAGAAGTGTGCTCAGTGCGGGCCGTCGTACTCTACCTCAAGAAGGAGGTACAACTGGTGCTGCGTGGGAGGGGTCATCATGTTACAAATTAATAAACAAAGGGTTAGAGTGTTCAAATTAACAATATTCAAATTAACATTATGTAGTATTGCAAAATTTAAATTACTTGTTATGCAATACGAACACAATATGAAAGCACATGTATATATTCAAAATAACATTAACAGACATATTAAACAACTTCACTAGGAAAATAAGCAACTTCTATGTATAGCTGTTCAGACACAAGACAACTATAAGATGCCATAACTGCATTTGCTATATAGCTTTTCTTTCTTTTTCATTGCACTGTTGATTTACAGTATATAATTTACACAGTCTATAATTGGGGAGATGTCATAACTGCATTAGCTATATAGCTTTCCTTTCTTTCCTCTCATGATAGCCCGTTTCCATCCACCAAAAGCGACGGCCTTTCCCCACTCGCTCCCCACATTAAAGCATTTACGCTCAACTTGAAAAGATTAATTAAATCCACGGCTTCGCACTAGCGAGTACGCTAAAAGCTTCTTTGCCAACTTTAGAATAAAAACAAATACGGATAATATGGGACGCTATTCACGGCACCATGCTAATGAGTATGCTAGAGGTTCCGTTACTGACTGCTATATGAAAACGGATGAATGTATCTATGGGCGGGTTAATGTATCTATGGACAATTTAGGAAAATGAAACCATGGTTTCGTGCCGCTGAGTATGCTAAAAGCTTCTTTACTAACTTTAAAATAAAAATAGATACAGATAATATAGAAAGATAACCATAGCCCCACGATAATAATATATATACTAGAAACTTCTTTGCCAACTCTAAAATGAAAGGTGATGAATATATTTTACAAAAGAAATTTAACAAAACATACACGTAAAATTCATTACACACGAGACTATTGATATCCCTAACAAATACCTATATGAATTTTACAAAAGCTAGCTGAATTTTACAAATACCTATGTGCGTGGCCGGAAGGCGCGGCGGGCGGCCGGAGCGGGTGGCGCGCGGCGGCCGTGGTGCGCCGGCGTGCGTGGCGCGGCCGACGCGGCGGCGAGGCCGGCCGACGGGCGGGCAGGCGCGGCGGCGGGCAGGCAGACAGAGGAAGGGCGGTTCGCGGGCGATATTTACCTGGGATTGCCGCGCCGTGAGGGATGGCGCGGCAGAACCTGCCACGTCACCAGTCAGCGTCCCGGTCGTCGCCACGTCATCCCCTCGCCGCGCCACCATACATGGCACGGCACAGGTGTTTCGCCGCGTCGGAAAAATAGCCACGGCAAAAAGTGTTAGTTTTGGAGAGAAAAAAACAATGTTAAATTTAAAATTAGTTTAAAAAGTATTAAAAATAAAAAAAATCGCACGTAGCGGCCCTCCGTCCTATGAGTCTTAAATGCTGCGCGGACCTGACCTCAGCAGGCACGGCCCGGCATCGTCTCGCTCTCGCTGAAGAGCGGAGACTGCAGCTGCAGCGGCGGCCGCGCGCCCCCTCGAAGTAATGGCGGCCACCGGAAAGCATGCCGTTGCCGGTCGCCAGCAGGAGGGAGAGCGGAGCGGACCACGAGGCTGCTGTCCTCGTGACCGTGAGTGAACCTCGTGATGCTGCAGTAATGGGGCTGGCCGGCAGGGCGAGCGAGACCCATCGAGGCAGGCAGGAGCGGGACAGGAGCAGCAGCTGCAGGTGCAAACAAGTTACCAACAGGGTCCTCTTCTGCTCAAAAGGAGGGCCATGGCCAGGGCCAGGCTGCGTCTCAGCTGCGGGCTTGCAGCGTGCTCGTCGTAGACATGGATCTCCTCGCGATCGGCGCTCACCACAATTCAGGCCGGGTTTAGATTGCAAATTTTTGCAACCTGGACACTGTAGCACGTTTTGTTTGTATTTGACAAACTTTGTCCGATCATGAACTAACTAGGCTCAAAAGATCCGTTTTGTGATTTACAACCAAATTATGTAATTAGTTATTTTTTTTATCTATATTTAATACTTCATACATGCATTCAAAAATTGATGTGATGAAGAGAGAGTAAAAAAACTTGGAATTTAGAGGCAATCTAAACCCGAACTTCCGAAGAAACGCAACGAGCAAGAGATGCACAAGAAACTGAAACAACGACCATTCTTGATCCATTTATTGTTCATCAATTCAGTACGTATTTTAATTTGATCATGGCGATAGCGATTGTCTGATGGAGATGGTTTCCTTTTAATTTCTCCTCTCGATTGTTAATTCTCCAACAAGTCTGAACCATCGTTACATCAATTCTTAAACAAGCAGCAGAACTATCAACGTCTGGAACAGTACCAATGGAATAATGTGCTGACAGAGGAGAGAGAGGGAGCTGGGAAGGAAAGGGACACAGGCCGGCAAGAATGCTGACCCGGCCAGCCGGCCGGCCGGCCGGTCACCGGCGGTAGCACTGTAGGTGCAGGAAAAAGCCGGCGGGTGGGTGGCCCTTGTTGGCCATCTCCTCGTCCATCCACACCCGGCCGCCGTCCGCCGCCCCGCGCGCCTTGACCATGAACTGCGCGCCGCCGCCGCCGGACACGCCAGCGAACCACCAGTCGTGCACGTCCCACATGACCTCGACGACGGCGCCGTCGCCCAGCACGGCGGTCCGGTTGCCGCGGAAGTTCCACTTGACCCGGCGCGCCTCCACCACCTTCTTGCCGTCGACGCTGACGGCCACCTCGCCGTCCCTGGACCCCCACTCGTCCCCGCGGCACGCGACCGTGACCTCGTGCTCGGCGCCGTCGTCGCGGAACCTGCAGCGCGTCGTGTGGACCAGCTGCGCCGCCTGCGCAGCGGCGGCAGCAGGAGGAGAAGGGACGACGAGGAGAAGGGCCCGCGGACCTGCTCGCGGCGGCTGAGCAGCGCGCGGCGCGGCGCGGGCGCGAAGCGGCGCCGGACGTCGCGCGCCGCCTCGCCGCCGCCGCCGCCGAGCAGCAGCGCGAGCTCGCCGTCCGCGACGACGGCGAGGTGGTAGTCGCGGGAGGGCTCCGCCGCGCCCGCGGGGTAGTACTTGGCCTCCGACGTGTCCCAGTAGACGGACACCGCCGTGCCGGCGTCGGTGACGAAGGACCGCGTCCCGCGCTTCTTCTGCAGGAAGTGCTGCGCGGGCGCGGGCGCGGTTGCCGGGGCCGTCCGGCTCGGCGTGCCGATCAGCGCCGCCGCCGCCAGAGGAGGAGGCGCCAGGGACGACCCGTCGTCGATGGCCAGCGCGATCCCGGTCGGCCCCCCAGCCGCGCCCGCCGCCGCCGCCCCGCTGGCCCCGGCGGCGACGCCCCGCGTCCAGGTGACCTTGATCCGGAGCTCCTTGCGCGACGACAGCGCGACCCTGTAGTCGCTGGCCGTGGCCGCCTGGAGCCAGCGGTCGAGCGCGCCGCCGGCGCCTCCTCCTCCCCCGCCGCCGCCAGCGGCACCGGCGGCCAGGGTGACGGCGGCGTCACCGAAGCAGGAGAAGTCTCGCATTGCGTCTGTCTGCCCTTGCTCGGGGCAGGCAAGGGAACCAAGGAAAGGGAAGGCGAGGAGGAGACGGGACGACAGAGTCGCACGCACGCACGCAGGAGTGGAGGAGCGTCGACCTCAACTCACCTCACCTCGGCAACCACCAAGAGCCAGGCAAGAGCCGCCCGAGGAGGTTGGGAAGGAAACGAGTCGAAAAGGCGCTGCGTGTCTGTGAGCTGTTGGCTTTTCTGGTATGAGCTGGAGGCCGGAGGGGCCTGGACTCCGGACTCTCGACGCCAGGGCCAGGACTCCTCTCATCTCCTCTGTGGCCGTCCTCTCCTAGTAGTAGTCCTAGTAGCTGCAGCAGCGCGATAATGCGTCCAGCTTATGTACGAAGCGTTTCTCACGTAAGCGCGCGGTACAAATAGAGTAAAAACGACCATAAAAAATAAGCTGAGAATAAACGTGACCATAATAAACTACTGAAAACGTAACGATTTCAGCTTATAAGCTGTACCAGACAAACAGGCCTCGTTCGATTCATCGGCTGTGGAGTGGGGAGCGCTCTGCGCTCTGCGGTCTGCGCTCGTGCTCCAAGGGGAAAAGATGCTGCCGCTGCCGCTGCCGCTGCCGGAGGGGAATTCAATGTGCTCGCGTGGTGAGGCCGTTTTTGTTTGTCTTTTCCCCGTTTCATTCACAGTGCGAGCTTTGAGACATGGATACCAGTCCAGTCCTCCTACAGTATGTCCCTGTACTCTGCGTGAGAAAATCTGAAAATGATACTGTAACGGTGGAGGCTGACGCATTTAGTGTTGGTTGACCTGGCTTATAAATCGTATTTTTTCAGTCAATGATAATATTTTTTTCTCACAACAAATCTATTAATAATATTTTCAACCATAACTTATCAGCCAAATGAATAGGGCGGAATGAGACGAGCATGGTGGATCGCAGTATCAAATGCTCCCTCAGTTCCAATTTATTAGTCACTTCATGTATTTTGATGTGTCTAGATATAGACATATTATTATACCTAGATATATAGTAAAATGAATATAAAAAAATCCAAGCGAGACATAATTTGGACCTGAGGGAGTATCAATGCACTAGTATCACCTGTTGCTCGTCTCGATAGGATGACGACGTCATGGCAGCAACGAAGGCAGAGCGCAATATACTGTAGGCAGGAGAGCACACGAAACATATATCGCGGCGCAGCGGCAGCTTGCAAGGGTGCCGCCGGCCTCGCCGTTTTGTCCGACCGATTGGCGGGCGGGCGGGGGCGCGATCTACGTGTGGTCTGTTCGCATGGCTGCATTTGATTTATAAGATACGGTTTATCAGCTAATGAATAGTATTTTTTTCACACCAAATTGGTTAATAGTATTTTCAGTCATGTCTTATAAGTCAAACAAGTCCAAACGAATAGGGCGCTAATGTGATCTGATGCATGGCAACTCACCCACACCTAGTGTCAGAGATGATGATTAGGCCAGGCAGAGATTACTGCGTGCGTGCTGCCGATCGATCGATGTGCTTCCTGCCCTAACTAATTAATTAACCACGCAAGCATCATTACGGAGTGCGTGCGTGCCTTTTCCCATTTTTCCATTCCACACATGCATGCATGGCACGGCAGCTGAGTCAAAATCGTCGTCGTCACGGCTTTAACCCATCGACTTTGGCCTAACCAGATTTAAATGCGTGGCGAGGGAAACACGGCTGCTTGATGGATATACTACGTACTATGTACTTGTTGTGGTAGCGGCGGCGACTAGCTCGCTCGTACTCGTGGCATGGACAATAATCTCTGCACTTGGACATACGTACTGTACATTACCAAGAATGCGTGCTGTCTTTGCATTTTGGTCATGCATGTCCACAGGAGCTGCGAGTGAACACGCCAGACTTTATTATTTTGTCCCCGTTCGTTAAATCAAACCGCCAGCAATGGGAACGGAACGGACCGGATATCCGCTCCCTCCACTGGAAATTGCTGCATCACCTGCATGCGCGACGTGGTTTCATGAAGCTGCGGAACCTGGCTGCATGCGTACGGCCGGCGATGAACAAGGGACCGAGGTGCGGCCCACGATCGCAAGCACGTTGTCCCAATCCACAGCGATGCCGGACGCATGCATGGTCTCAGCTCGCCGCGCGCTCTCGCTCGTGTCGTCTCGTGTCTGTCTGCCACTCCAAAGTCCGGACTGGGACGGACGCACGTCGCACGAGTCGTCGTTAATTCTTCCCTTCTCATTCATTTGCCCGACCCCGACGCACGTTTGGCGGCCGGGTAACTGCTGCTGACTGCCGAGCGACGGACGGGACACGTTGGATGCATGCACGACCCCGGCGTATGTGTCTCCGTCTGCGTGCGGCCGGCCCAGCCGATTATTTTATTATTCTTTTGCAGTCCACGGCCGCCGGCGCAGGCGCCCACGCCAGACGTCACGTGCCGCGCGAGGCGACGTCGACGGCTCGACGCACGGAAGGAACGCGCACGCCACCAGCCACCAGGCACCAGAGCTGCTCCGCAATTCAAACTTGGTGCGTTGGCCCAAGTGCACGTAGAGAGAAGCCCGCCAGAGTGCTGAGCTGCTCCAGAGAGGACGGCCAGCCATTGTAGCCCGCAAGGGGCTCTCTGGGCCGTCTCTTGCGGGCTGCGGCGTCGTCCAGCAGAGGAGGGCATGATGCCCGCACCACGCCAGAGTGTCCATCGGCTTTTATTAAGAGCAACCACAGTACGATCTAAAAGCAGTCTACAGTGACTAATTTATCTCTTATACACTACCTGAAACATTGTAACAAAAGTCTGCCTAGAGACCACCCGTAAGTAAGCAATAAAAATATATTACTTTTTCACCCTCTCTCGTTCTCTCTCCCTGATTCGTGCCGCGGTTGCTCCCGCCGGCTATCTGCGCCGCCTGCAAGGACGCTGCCCTTGCCCTCCATGCCGCCTGCGAGGACGCCGTCCTGAACCTTCGTGCCACATCGCCGCCCTCGAGGCCGCTGCCCTGGCCATGCGCGCCGCCCGCAAGGACGCGGCAGACATCTGAACCGCCCGTGACGACACCACAGCCATCCGCGCCGCTCGCAAGCACGCCGTTGCAGCCATCTGCACCGCCCGCGAGGACGCAGTCGCAGCCATCCGCGCGGCTCACCATCTGCACGCCGGGCATGAGGAAGAAGAAGTCGAATCGGATCTAGAAGAAAGCCTATTTGGTGGGGATGAGCCGATTCAAGACGGCTGCAGTACGATCTAGATGGAGAAGAGGCGAGGTACAGAAGCACTCAGGCAGGAATGAGCGGAGGCGGCGGCGTGGTTACCGCTGGCGGCGGCTTGCCGGACGGAGATGCGGAGTCGCTCGCGAGATAGGGAGTCAGGTAGAAGAACCGTGGATGGTTGGCCGTCCAGTTTTTTTATATGCCAGTGGGCCATATATTTTGATCCATTTTAGACTCCAACATTGTGGGACCAACAATCACCCGTTTCACTTGTAAATCGTAATTTTTCAATTAACGAATAATATTTTTCTCTTCTAGACTCCAACATTATGAGACCAACAATCGTCCTGTTCGCTCGGCTTATAAGCCATACGTTTTCAGTCAACGAATAATATTTTTCTCTCACAACAAATCAGCCAACAGTACTTTCAGCCATGGCTTATCAGCCAAACAAACCGGACAAATAATTATAGCCCACTGTCACATCCCACTCACATAAACCAAGTAATTCATATACATTGTGGTTGCTCTAAGACAAAGGATATAAAGTCCAATTCTATATCCACGGAAATAAAATATATAGACCCAAAAATTTTATAAGCTCAAGCCTCAAAACTGAGGAACATGAAACAATAACAAAGGAATATTAAGGACTAAGAAAACTACTAGAAAGGCTAACCATGACAACTTCATGTTCATCCTTGCTTTCAACATATTTTGTTCTTGCGTAGAAGTAACTCTCCACCTCATATGTCTCAAACAAAGGATCGAGACTAAGGGTCTGCTTGGTGGAGAAATGTGACGTGGAAAAGGTGTACTCTCTCCATATTCAAAAATAAAGTCATTTTGGACAGCGACACGGTCTCCAAAGTATAACTTTGACTTCTTGTTTTATAAAAAATTTATCGAAAAGTGATATATGTATATTTTTATGAAAGTATTTTTCAAGACAAATATATTCATATGGTTTTTACATTTCCATACTCAAGAACTTAAAAGTTATTCATGATTTATAATCTCAATGTTTGACCCAAGCTTTGTCTAAAACGACTTTATTTTTTAGTATGGAGGAAGTAAGTTATTTGGTTGAAACAAGTATAAAACATACTCCATCTCTCTATCTCTCTTAAAACAGCTGTGAACACATCTCTCTATTTCTACTCATTTCGAAAAGCAGAAAGCTAAAAGCAGCAATACTACATGAAAGCAATTGCTTCTAAAAAAAGATTCAGGTTTCAATTCTTTGGTTGGTTTTCTGCTTTTTGACAGCAACGACACTTTTCAGAAGCTCAACCAAACACAATCTGAGTCCCTATCCTCATCCGACTTTGCCATCCAAATTTGGCAATTTTAGCCCATGTTTCTTTGTTGGTACTATCTCAATTCACAAGTACCCTAAAAAAAGTCCCAGTTCACTAATATACTAGGCATTTCAATTTTGCATGATTTTTCTATACAAATTTGTTACCGCTAAAGGACATGTTTGGTATAATATAGGCTGGTTACGACTGAAACAAACAGAAACTAGAATTCATGGCACACATTTTTATAGTTTTTTATGGCCACGTTCCTTCCCATAATTAGTTAGATGTGATCTTCAACCGTGGATAAAATGGAGAGCAGCCAGGCCATCCGCGTGCCATTGGCCTATGGCTGCCTTTCACATCGCGTTTTTTACTGCTCAGTGCCGGTCAAAAACCCTGCTTATCTACGGGCTTAGCCGGTCACACGCTGGAAAAGGACTCACCAATCTGTCAACTAAAAATCGGTCCCCTATCACCTTGCCACACCATCTCCCC